GCTTTATATAATTGTCAGTTGATGAATTATCGAAGACAAAATATTCTATTTATTTATGTGTGTAAGGACTACAAAATTTTGTATTTTGAGGTGACCCTTGATGGACTGGTGAGCAGACTCGTCTCTCCAGCCAGACTGTCTTCCTACTGAGCAAAAAATGACTTTAATACAAGCTAAAATAATGGCTAAAAAGGCAATTAAATTAATTTGAAATAATATTATTTCAAGGCATAATTATTTAGTACATCTGTACTTATACGCATAGGGAGGAAGTTAACTCCTCCATTTATTCTGAGCATTTTATGTAGTAAATGTGTGCATAAGTCTCTTAAAAACTGTAATCTTTTTAGGGCGTCGTTACTTTGTATTTTAGAAGAGCAAAATGTCAATTTAGAAACACTGAAGACCGATGTGACTTGGATTGATTAGCATGTCCCCCTACTTGAGCGAGTATATAAGAAAACAATAGGACTAAGTAGTTGTAATCAATTTTTAAGGTAATCTTGTATATTCGCCAAAAATTTTGGCAAAGTGTAGAAGGTGTCATATCGTCGTCCTGGCAACTTTCTGGCAGATGTTAACACAAATGCCTCTTTCGTTCGCGCTATTTCACGCCATCTGTAGCTCCAATTCTGGCGATGGCAAATCATTGCCCCTACACAGCATACATTTTCTAAATAACGCCTTAATTTATTGGTCAATCCTAATATTTTTCCCAAATATCATTTCTTCCCCTGTAAAAGCCGTTCAATGTCTCTATCACTGTATACTCAGGCGACTCAAGTATTCGCTTAAACCCTGCTTTATCACACTTAAAAACTCTAAAAAACTGTCTTTCTAAATTGAGGCAGAATTTTTTTTTGGAAAGTTAGTCTACGAGGTCTATTTTTGGGAGATCTTAATTTTCTTTTTCAATCCACCAATTGCTAGAATGCCTGGGTTGAATAAGACGCGGACAGCTGCATTCTCGACCAATAGGAAAGCTACGCGTTCTCCCTGCTTGCACGTGATTGGTTTTTATCCGAGTCATGATTTTGCTGAGGTGTTTGCACCCCCCACAAAAATGTTTTCCGACTGCTCAAGTCCGGAACAGCCTCAGCAGCTAACGCAACAGACACCGATCCCCTATTCAGAGTACACACAATTTTGGAGTCCTCCAGCGCCTCCAGATCCTGCAAATTCCACCGCCTCCTCAACAAACGCTCCCACATGGAGTCAGGAGTGGACCGGCTCCCAGATAAGTGGGCAGGCATGGCCATCCCATAGATCCCTGGAGCCTGTTCAATCACTGAATCACCTCGCTTCCAGCGATGCTTCCAACCACTCAAAGCCGCCGTATTCCTATATTTCTCTCATTACCATGGCCATTCAGTACTCTCGCAGTCGAATGTGCACACTGTCAGAAATTTACGATTTTATCACAAATCTCTTCCCTTACTACCGACACAATAAGCAGCGTTGGCAAAACTCTATCCGCCACTCCCTTTCCTTCAATGACTGTTTCGTCAAAGTGGCCCGTGGCCCAGATCGTCCTGGCAAGGGTTCCTTCTGGACTCTCCACCCAGATTCTGGCAACATGTTCGACAATGGTTGTCACCTTCGTCGACAAAAGAGGTTTAGAGACCCAGCACGTGAGGCGGCTCGGCTGGAACGCAAGAAAAAGTCGAAAGGCCTAACCACACAGATAACGTCGAAAGAGCAAAAGAAAACTACTGCTGAAGGGGAAGAGGTTGTGGATGTCGATTTGGAGCCTGAGAAGGGCGCTTTACCTCTCCAACCGATGGAATGGCGAGGTGAAGAGGAAGTGGCTGGATGGACACCGGAGGGGTGGTGCTGTTTTGATCCACTACCACCACCTCCCCCTCCACCACCACCACCACCGCCACTTCTGCAGCCACCGTCTCGTCATGCGATGCCACATCTGACAACCTCGCAGACCTGGTGGACCTCAGTCATGTCTTTCGACGCCTCCACTAATACCACCACCACAACCTCGCCACCTACACCGCTATCAACCTTACCATCCGACTACTATTCCTAGCAGAAATGGTGCGTTCTACTCTCTCTTTAATTTACCAAATTTGTTTTAGTGAAAAGACCTTCGACCGCATTTTTAATTATTTCTGTTCTTAAAACTTTAGCATTTTGAGAGGCGCTAAAGGGTGATTATTTTGCAACCTTAGTCCCCTAATATCGTCCATCGGCAAAATTGCTTGTGTGACCACCTTTCAAATGGGGAAAAAAATCGCTTAAAATTTTTTTAAGATCATTTTTTAATCTAAACGGCTACAAATGTAGTTAAATTTAATCTGAGAGGATAAAAATGGTAAATGCTGTACGACTGTGAGATAAGGTAATTCAAAATAATGCGCATCATCACAATTTACATTGGCTTTCAATAAAATAATTTCGCTCAATGCTTTATGAAGTTTGTTTTGTCCGTTTTGTCTTTTCCACAGCAATTTGTCTTGATTGATTGAGCGATTAGTGGGATTAATATACAGACTTTTCCTAAAAAAAAAACCTCCTGGGATTCAATTAAAATGCGTGTTTAGATGATGCTGCAACAGAAATTAGATAATTCTCAGTGACGGTTGTGGCACTAACAAGGCTTTAAAGTCTGCTTTATTGGAAAAATTGAGATCTGAATTACAGTACATGAAGGCGCCAGTGGCTATTGTTAATCATGAAATAAACATTACAATAGGCATGAAAGTGGTGCCTTCTTTTCTACTTCACCCTGAATTATCCCCTGTCATTTCGTGGCGTGGATGCCGACAGGTCTCAAGACAATCGATCGGGGGAGAGGCAGAGTCCTCCTCTGATTGGCGTGCACGGGCACGTACATAAGCATGCGCACCCAGAGACTCGTGAAGTGGATGTGTGATGGTAGGTGGATGGTAGGATGCAGGGGGTTGGGGGAGGGTGGTGGGCGTTGGAGGAGGAACACTAAGGGTAACACAAATTCCTCACTCGGCCACCTGTTGTCTCTCTCACGAGTCAACCGAGGGTGTCGCGTGCTTGACATGGGGTGTTTATCGGAAAAAAGAGCGACAGAGGGGTGGACAAGGGGGGAGGTGGGGAGGGAAGGAACCAGCCTATGCTAAGAGGAGGACAGAAATAAACGGTCTTTTTATGCAGAGCTTTTATATCGAGCAAAAATAGTGAATACTTTGAGTTGAAATATTTGTGAACAATTTGAAATCAATTCTCTCCATCTACTAAGTACAGTTTAAATATTTCTTTCCTTGTTTTCTTTTATACCTGCAAAATATTCTTAGCTACACAAACAATTTAGTTCAATGAAATCCAAATACCACATATTTATCATAGTGAAGAACCACACTCTCGGAATACCAATTCCTGCGCTTGGCTAGGATTCATATCAAGGGTACAGAGAAACAAAAATAAGGTTATTAGCACAATATGAGAAAGATGTTGGGTCAAGTGTTAAGAGGATTATATTCCTTTAACAACAAACATGGTAATTACGAAAACTCATAATGCCTTAAATGCTTTAATTAATGCAGACTGAGTGGGAACCAAAAATTAGAATTGGCCCTGTGTAGCCCTTTATCCCATGGGAAACATTTGATGTGCATTTTTGTTGTATTACAAAATTTATTGTATAGGAATGAGTAATTTTGTTGCAAAAGTTGTATCCATCTCCACGTCTGTAGTTTTTCTGGTAACTTGCGAATGAATTAACCAAATAATTAGTGATCCCTGTTTAATTTTACTCTTAAACATTATTTTTTAAAAAGCTCCTCTCTTGTTGCGACGTTAGTCAGTCTACTTGTAATTATAGCTTGCCTTATCTTAGATAAATTAGAAAGGCAATTATTTATGCCCATTTCATTGAGTATGATGCACATTCTTATCCTAAAGTTTTCACACTCACACATTTTGTTCTTTAATTAGGTCTGCGATTAGGTCCAAAAATATGCCCCACTTTAATGCAATAACAAAAATATGAAGTACATCAAACTCGAATCCACAATGCTTGGTCTGTTAAATGCGAGTTAAACCACGGCAAGGCAATCTGCACTCTCAAATTAAAAAGCATTGCAGCTTGTATAAAAACTAAGGGTTTGGTTTTTTCGTGCTTTTACTTTTATGTTTGAGACACACTACTCTCACTATGCATTATTATTACCCCAAAATAAAAAAGCTTGTTTATCAACTGACCTCCTTATATTCGTAAGCATTCTAAATCTTTTTTTGACAGTGCATGTTTATAAGTAGAGCTGACCTACAGTACCTATTCCGTATTTACCTACCTGACTTCACGTTTTGGCTTAAAATGAAAACTTTTTTATGAAATGAATTTGCTATCTTCTCAGTCCTTTCGCAATTACTTATAAGAGGGTTAAATGGACGACCGATAGCCCTAATTCCTAACCCGTGTTTGTATAGTGCTTCCCAGGAAATCCCCACAACCTTTAAATGTGCCGCTTAAAACCTGCCGCGTATTACGCATGCTACTCACAAACAGACAGTAGCGGCACCTCAGCGGCGGGAAACTTACGTATGTTGAAGAAGAATTCACTAAACATCTTTTTTTCAGGTTTAAGGCGTGCACAATCAGTCGCCTCTCACCAACTAACCAATGCACCCTCCAAACTTTTACAAATATAAATTATTTTTAACTTCGACTATTACTTGTTTAATCATTTGGGAGAGGAAAGAAACGCTGGTAAAGGAAACAAAAAAAACTAATGTAGAAGGCACAAGACATCATACGACCAGGTCGTAAACATCGTAGGCGGGTTGCAGAAGATGCTCTGTTGCAGGTTTTTCATGCTGACGCTGCCGAAACTGGAGTTTGTGTTTGGGATTCACAATGGGCCACATCTCTCGGAAGGCCAAGAATGCCAGCATCCACGAAGGCACATTCAACGATTTCAATGCTTTGGCGTAGTCCATTACTGATCCTAAAAGTCAAGTTATTAGGGTACATCACAACTCACCGTTTATTGAGAGGTTTTTCATAATCGTTCGTCGAATGACGACTCGACAACAAGTTAGAAGGCTGGACGGACTGAGTTGCCCTGGAACCTCACAGGTTGCGCGATAGCGATGCCACAACCAGCACGCATATCTTACAGGAAAGTCAAAGATTCTATTTTGATCCTTCAAGCAAATTGCCTCCTCAGTGTCGCCGATTGCAAGGCACTCAGGGCAGCGTCGAGCCTCAGGTGTAGTCCAGGGCTCCACCAGCAAATTCGGAGTGCAATGAATTAATTCAAAGAGGAGGATAATCGTACTGGTGGTAAAGTCCACATCTACAAAATTCTTTCTACAAAGTTTGACGATCTGCAAGTGATTTAGGTGAGCCAATATAATAGTCACAACCCACCAGAGATTGGGAAAGCGTAGTCGTGGGAGGTCTGAGAAGGAGACTAGTGAGTGTGGGATTTGCTGAGGAATCCTCATAGACATCGGAAGATGCCATAACAAGAGGCCACACCACTGGAAGGTACGCGTCGTGCTTGCCCAGCGCCAGATCCAGTGGAGTAGAGCCTAACACATTGCGTCGTCGCGGATCCCACTTGTAGGGCGCATTCACCAGCATGTGAACACAGAAGCCCGCCAATTGACGAACAGCAAACTGAAAAGGGGTTTTTGAAGAAGGGGATGGAGATTTGGCTTGTCGATCACACCATGCACTGAAAAGTTAGTCACCGGTGATAGGCACAAGTAAACATTTCTTTCCCTTTAATGTTTTTTTATACGGTGCAGGACCTCGAATGACAGGGTTTGTAGAAGTAATCAACCTCTGTTCTCAACAACGCGTCCCATATTCCACTTGTCTCTTCAAAAGTTAAATCGCAACTTTTAATGGAAAAATCTTCACCTTGAATGCTTGTGGATAAACAAAACATTGTACTACTCTTTTATGTGCCAAAGTGCCAGATGGACCTCAAGCACCTTGCGATATTGCATGCATGACGAGTGGATGACACCTGACACCATCAGTCGTAACAGACCTCACAGGACTTGAGGTTAAATTTAAGCGACTTACGTGCAGGAGATTTTCCTCCACCGAGGGATTGACAAAATCCACCTCCCTAATTGTACCTCCGCCTTCACCGTTTGGCAGTGCTAGCAACGGTCTCAAGGCTAGGTGGTCGTCTCTAGCAACTGCGGATTGAGCTTCTTGGAGGGTGGTTTGCAGTTGGTGGAGAGAGGGCACAGCACCCGAACGCATCGCATCCAACAGTGAACGAGTTGTCATTTGCCTACTGCAAAGGTAAAACAAGTCTAGCCACCCTGAAATCCCCTCCTCTGTACAATACACTGAACTTCCAGTGGTAAAGTCCTTTTCCTGAATCTCCCCATTCGTTATCTTTCGTTTGAATGAAGATGATTTGAGCCAACACCTTGGAATGCCAGCAAGGCGCGTAGAAAGAGTGCAGCCGCTACACCGGATGATGATCTGGGTGGAACACACTACCCTTGCGCGGAGAAGCCGATCTCCAAAAGGAGCCGCGTGGGCAAACTAGGCTCGCCAAACTACATTTGATGTTGGTTAACTTTCCAACATCAAACCTCTTGTTGACTCCAAAGCTTGGCACACAATTCCAAGTCGATGAACATTAAAAACATTCCTTTCACCAGCCCTTCATGACAGAGGATTGAGGTACAACCAAAAGGCGGACTAGCAAACAAGGCGTCAAGTACCTCAATCAACAATGGCATTGAAACGCTCTTTTTTCCCCTCATCCCGATTTCACAGTGCATCCTGTCACCCAACAACCACAGCCCACACCGTACGATAAAGCCAAACCAAAGCATTAAGGTGTAAATAGGCAAGCGGGATTATTCATTCACAGACAGTAAGAGAGAAGAGCAAAGCCACTGTGTGGTCGTAGTAGTTCTATTTTGCCGGGGTACAAGAGGAGAATCCCAGAGCAACATCATATAATCATAATCGTCAGCGTCATCATTAGCGCCATCATCGTTAACATCATCATCATCACCAGCATCATCGTCATCATCAAAAAGTATGGAGCCGCAAAAATAGCAGTGATAGGTAAATAAATATAAGTCATTTGTGTCTTCCACACACGTATATGCAGGCGGACGGGCGGGCGGGTGGGTGAGTTAGTGCATATAATTTCAACTTTCCTGGTGTCTATAAGCCCCCGCCTGCTCGCTAATCAAGTGTCACTCGGAGGAAGAGGTGAGAGACAGGTAGGCAGAGGAACAGAGAGAGGGAATAATAAAACCCACTAGGCGGCAGAAGGAGCAATACATTGTTCTCTGAGATCGTCAAAATCGATTGTCCTTTCCTCCCAAATCGGGTGTTTGTTCGTGTGTGTGTTCAAATGCTCGAAAGATGGAAATCTCTATGGGGCAGGGGGCTGGTAGCTAGGAGTGAGTGTGCCTCTGGCTCAAGGCGCCTAGAAAAATAAAAAACAAAACAAGAGAAAAAAAACAAGAACACACACGAAGAGAAAGAGCGAGGGGTGAGGGGAGGTTGAAGGAGGGAGAGGTAATTGTGTGAAACACTCAGAGTAATCTGGCAAGGAAAGAGAAAGGGAGGTGCAGGAAGAGAGGAGGAGACGCGAAATCACGAAAGACCTTGAGAGGGAGAAGTGGAACCTTTCTACAGGGAAGATAGACACAAAGTGGGGTGGAGGAGTAGGGGAAAAGAGACGGGAGGAGGACGAGTGAGAGATGTGGCCAATAAATGAAGCACGCCACGCATGCTCCCTCGTCTTGTCTCCCAGTTTATGAGTCTACAAAGAAAAGTAGGCAGTGTTAATAACACCTTACGCAACAATGCAGCATAGAATTAAGGCAAGGGTTTGGATAATGGAGATCTAGTGCTCCTGATTGCCATCCAAAATTCACAGTTCACAGCGAGCCATGTTATAAGATTGGGCGAAAATAAGTGGTACCTCCAGAATCCGTTCCACCGGACACAACTGCCTCAGTCTCAGTCTCTTCATTCGGAGGCGTACGAAGTGCTTGCGTCGAAGGAGCCGGTGGTGGCGGCAGATTCGACAATGGAGGAGGAGGAGGCAGGACCATTGATTCAGAAGGCGCTACTGCACTGATATTTAGCACACCGTGAGCCGAGAGCGTGGACATGGCATGGGTGATCTCAGCCACCGCCTCCTCTGAAAATCCCCGCGAACGCAACCACGCTGCAGTGGCTGTGGTCGCCGGTGTTGTGGAGAGAGGAGAAGAGGTACGAAGGGGAGGGAAAAACGCCGCCGTCACTCCACTTCCACTACCACCGAAGGTATTCAATGAACTGGCGGAGGGAGGAGGAGGTGGAGACGAAGCTACTAGAGGAAAGCTGGAGGGATCCAAGGGACTCTCCAGACCCGTGGGGGAGGCGTACATCCCACCAGCCGCTACAGCATTAGGTTGAAGAAGTGCGAAAGGTGTAGCAGCAGCTGGTGACTGCAGTATCATCTGACTGGCGGGTAGTAGCGGAGTGGTATAGAAGGAGGAGGAGACGTCCTGTTCCCCAACCGGTGGAGTGAGGGGACCGACAAAGCCACCGCCGCCACCACCACCACCACCACTCTCAAGACTGCTGCTAGCACCGGAAGCCTCTCCACTGTGCACTGCCTCCATCCCGCGGTGCTGCTGTTGTTGATAGCCGGCAGCGGCAAGACGTTGCTGATAGTCGGCGGCGGCGGCTGCAGCAGCAGCAGCGGCAGCGAAGTAGGTGGCTTGAAGGGCATTGTGGTAGTAGGCACCGGTCATGGGAATTCCTCCGTCACTTTTCTGACGGACGATAGCGGCAGTAGCAGCGGCGGCAGGATGGCGTGAGGATAGAAGGGTTTGCGCCTGAGGTGTTGGAGGAGGTGGGGGCGTGGTATAGGCGAAGGGAGAACCAGTGGGATACGCGCTGGCCACTGGACCCTGTGCATGAGAATAGGAGATGGTCGGACAGGTGCCTGACTGCGGATCCTCCGCTATTTTTGTCAGTACCATGTCGACGGCTGAGCGTAGTTGATCCGCCTCACCTTAAGCGACGCAAAAAACCAATCAGACACGTGCTTTTTCAAGGTCATTCACATACAAGTTCATCTACATGTATGATGCACCGAGGGTTTACAGCCCTTGAAATACTCGCCTTCATGATCACAAAGACTTATAAACTTCTGTATCAAAACTTTGATATACGTTGCTTCAAGGCGAGACATTGAGTACACGCCTTAAATGTTAGAAAAAAGTGCCAACTTCGGCTCGATGCTCACCCTAACATGACCACAAAACCACAAAAACAAGGGAGAGTTGGCTAATAAATTCAATGACAAAAAGGTAACGGCTGGATTACAGGACAGTCTTAAAAGATTCGTTATTTTGACATTACCAATCGGTGAGGTAGTGGTGAATGCGCACCAAAAAAAAGTTGGAGTGAACTCTTTACAAATCAAGCCATAATGCGTGAGAGCTACAAATAGCTCATAAAAATGAGCGAGCAAACTATAAAGGGCAATGTTGAGAGGAGACATACCGGCAATTGTGATACACCGCTCCGGCAGATTGATGTCCTTCGACTTTTGAGAGATTTGAATGAACGCACCTGTGGCCTCCTTGATTTCTGAGACGTAACTGCCCTGTTTCCCGATAACCAAACCTGCGGTGCAATTGGGTACAAGGATTTTCACCTGAAGCGTAAGCGTATGCATGTGAGAGAGAACGTCCGCAGTGAATAAAATTAAGTAGGAGGAGAAAAAGTTGCACCCTTTTATGCTATTAGAACCCCACTGGCGCTCATGCACACGCATGTGTGTATGTGCGCCGGGGCAGTTCCAGCATCACATGCTCACAGCAGAGGCCAGTCTTGGGAGTGTCGAGCTGCCATCGTGCGGAGGGAAAAAAGAGTAGGAGAGATAGCGAACCTGTTTATGGCGCTCCCATAGCAAGCGATTGGTGGAGAGGGGTTGTGCGCCGGTGGTACAGACAGCAGCAAGGGGCCAGAGGGCGTAGCCGGGTGCGGCGATGGCCGGGGCCTCGGCGGCCTGTGGTAGGGCGATGTGACCGCTCGGTGTCACAGCGGGAGCGGAGATCTCAGGCTTCTCGAGAATGCGATCCATGATGTAATTGTGCATAGCCCTCACACCAGTCAACGGTCCCTGGATCAAACATACGCGCTCCGTTGTGCCTGCGACAAAAAAGTTGGGTTCACTTTTCAAGATCATTGATTTATAAGTCAAAATAATGTTATCTGCAGCTAGTAATTGCAGCGTTCCAATACAGAGGTAACCACTGGTTGTTAGACGACTAAGCAACACTACAATCACTGGCAAAACAGGAGCCACGACCGAGAGGAGTTTAAACGAAAATAACAAAGTAAATTAGGAAAGGGAAATTGCAGTCCACACACTTTATGCTTTAACCAGTAAAAATAACCGACCCGAAAAAAACTAGCAAAAGTTAAAGAGAGCTAAACAATGAAAATAACACAGGGGAACTGGAGTGAGTGCAAACTATCAAAATCGCCAAGAAGAGTTCAGACGTGTTAGCTTCTGCGCTACAGAGTGCCATTGGAATGAGTAGGAAGACCAAAGTAGTGAAATGTCAACACGAACTCAAAATCAAAGGAACCGCAACAGTCGTACCTCGAAATAGTAAAGGACACTAGAAGGAAGTGTAGTTGTGGCAGACTTAACAAAGGCAGCAAGACAGAAAAGCACCAAGATTTTTCAGTATATCTGTACTAAAAAACAAAGAAATGTGCATAGGCAGCTACAAGCATAAATAATAGATGGAACATGAAAAAGCATGGATGTACCCATTCAAAAATGGCAACGAGGGGTTGCAAAAGATTGAGACAAAATTCAAAAACTTAGAAGCAGAAAAACACCGCATAAGTGTGGGATATATAGATAACAAGAGGAACTGCTGTAACAACAAAGTAGGTAAATCGTGCTTCCTAACCATAAAACTACTTGTAGTTCCATTAAACTCATCTAGAGGAAGCTGATATGTGAATGCTCCTAAACTAGTAAACACGCGTAAATATAGAACAAAAAAAGTATTAATGTAAGAAGTATCTTAAAAGCCCCAAGCAAGAAATTTTGCAAGTGCATGCCTTTGAAGAATTCCCTTTTAGAACAACATTGGTGTCAATACAAAAAGAATTGAAATAAAAAGCAGTATTCAAGTTGAACGCAAAAAGCAAAAAAAAGTGGGCATAAAGAACTACCTGGGTAAAAGTCGTTTAGTTTGGACAACTTGATTTTTGCTCCAGTTTCCCTCTGCATTTGTCCAATTGCCTCCCCATTTTTCCCTATGATAGCACCAGCGGCAATAGACGGCACCAACACCTTCAAATAGATCGTATCTAGAAAAATAGTACAATACTCTTAAAATCAAACCTGAGGCACGTCTTGAAGTTGCTTCTTGAGAAGTGTCAGACACCTTTGGGACATCTTCATTGTTCTCCTCCATCATAGAAATAATTCGAATTAATACCGCATATTATCGAAACAAGGTGATGTTATAAAAGTATGCTTTTCACAAAAATAGTATTTGAAACAAGAGATTGAGTTATTTATATCTTAGTCATTCATGATAACTGCAAATTAACAGAAGACTGCCCAAAGGGACAAAAGCGCTCAGCTGATAGAATGCAGCTGATGGAAAACTATACTTAATTTAGAACATTTAAACGAGAAATCAGATTTTCACATGTACTTAGTTGTTGTTAGGGCGTAAGCAGCAGTAGGGTCTAATATCGCGAAAAAAATGGTTTCTTTGTTAAAATTAGAAAATATGAAATGCTGATCACTGCTGCTTCTACTAAATACACCTATAAACCACCGGTTTTTACAACAATCTGTGTGATTTTAAGGTAGGTTTATGCTTCTCCCTAGCGAAAAGATGTAACTTAATATTATAAAAGGCTTGATGCACTTCGGTTTACTTTTATTGCTTGACTTGATGCAATACACACACAAAATTTGCATGCCCTCCGAAGTCGCCAAATATAACGCCGTCCAGATCTTACAATGTTCCATCTGCAAGAATCCTTTAGTTCCTCGACCGTTTGTTTAAATTACACTGCCGGTTACATAGGCCCCCAAGGCTTCCCTCGTCACTACCCCCGAGCATCATGTCCAACGGGACATGTCAGTAGCTCCCCCGTCCTTCTGTACGGCGGATATGTATTTCCCACCATGGTATTATCACTCGTTTCTACCTCAGGAATGACTCGGAGCGAAACAGACTCCCCAGTCCAAAAGACTGGAGCCCAATAAACTCCCACCTTACGAATACAAATGCGCTCACGTGCAGACAGAACGTGTCCAGCACCCATGGCTCAAAGATTGAACAGTCTGCGGGTCAGAGATAACACACCAACAGCAAGAAAACAAAACCCCTCCAACAGCCGAATATGGGGGATTTATTTTTGGGAACAAAAGTGAGATACACGAAACTCGGAAAAGCTGCCACTTTTCCAACGTAGTACACCTCCCATGTGCGACAACAGCAACAGCACGATGACGCTCAATGAAAAGTCTATCAACGGCATAAGAATAGGCACTGAATAACAATTCAGACTCAGAAAAACGGAGAAAACTGTAAAGAGAAAGAGAGAAGTCAGTAGGAATTGTGTGCCGTAAAGGGGCGATCCCTGTCCTTGAAAAAGCTTTTAAGGATAGATACTTGGGCTACAACCGTAACTACGATGATAATTGAAACCGCTGTACTCCAAACGGATATATGGGACAGCAATTCGTGAGCGAAAATACGGTCAGCAGTCAGTTTGGCACGCAATTCCGTCTGGTAGCTTTCAGAAACGGAGAGATGTTCATGGATGGACTCAGCCAGCGATTCAATCATGGTACTTGGACCAGACTCAGGAAGGCCAGCTTCCTCATTCAGAGATTCATCACCCCTAAGTTCAAGGAAAATGCGTTTCGGAGACATAGGAGGGAAACGGTTTTGAAAACAGAATGAATAATCACCGTCCATGAGTGCAGTCAGTTCAATTGTTTCATGGGGAGTTTCATACTTTTTAACAATCACATTCGTGGTAGGATCCCTGACAGCGACTTCAACATCATTCGAACTACCTTTCAGCACTTGAAACATAAAGCTATACCGTTCTTTCTTCTCGAATTTCTCATAAAAGCAGACCTTTTCCGTACCGGGAAGCTCAAATGTGAAATGTCTCGGAAAGCAGTCAACAATAACAGTCAGGAATGAAATAAAAAACGTGATTACAGTGGCAAGGGACAACTTCATCTTAACAAAACCGAGAATGATGACGGAACAACCCCAGTCCCATACAGCGCCACGGCATTCACTATGCGCGCTGAATTTTCACCAAAATCTAAGATGATAAAAAATTCTAAAGAGTGCTGCTTAAAGAAAAAATGCAGAAAAGGACATAAATCTTCAAAACAATTTTTAGGGAAACCTGGCTGCACCAGTTTTAGCAACGAGCTATTTTAAACGGAAAAATATCCACTACTTATTGACCCCCTTTAACAGATAAAAAATCGACAAACCACAATTAAAAGATTTGGACCCAACTGCGAGTTTAAAGGCATCGTTCGCTATGAATTTCATGATTAAAGATCATGGATAATTATTTGATGAATTCTTATTTTGCCTAACAGAAAATCTTTAAATGTAGAGCAGAAAGAAGTGAATCCCTTTTCCCAGCATTGCAAATTTTTTAACTCTTTTCATAGGTATCCTTTTAATGGTCTTAAAATGGAAAATCTTTGCTTAATAAGTGCACTTATACGTTTTCGCTTACAATTTGCTAACAGAAGAGTTTTTACATCCAACAGGCTTTTAAAACCTTCTAGGTTTAGTTTTGCGGTACATGTGTTGGTTTTTACTTAGCGGCTAATTTGAACAGCTGAAAACCATTTGCTAAAATGAGTCTCGCTGATAGGCTTTGGCGTAAGGTCAATTCGAATGCAGCTGATTTCAATGCTTGGGTCGGTCTGCTTGATGCTGCTGAAAAACAGGTGCGTGGTTGTTTCTCTTTACGTCCCTGACTCACACGACTTCCTAACACGTGTTTTATGCCGTAGCCCAATATTGACGTTACGCGCAAGGCATTTGATGCGTTTCTGATACACTTTCCTTACTGTTATGGGTATTGGAAAAAGTACGCCAACGCTGAACGTCACCTTGGAAACAAGGACCGCTGTCTAAAGGTAAATATTGCTAAGCGGTGCGAGTTTAATAGTCGTCTTCTCGAATGACTTACTGCGCGAGTAAATTAGCCTCCGAGATATTTGTCAATCAATATCATGGCATCCTGTTGGTTTATTGGTGTTTTTTTCTGGGACGGTAATCGCATTGTTGAAAGTTATTAATAGCCATGTGTGAGTTTGGTTCTGATTAGTGAATTGACCTTTATTTGTATTTTGTCAAACGTCTTTTCATTTTAGATATTTGCAATGGGTGTTGAGGCTATTCCTTTAAGCATTGACTTGTGGGTTGCCTATCTTGACGCAAACCTGGAAATTATTCACGGACAGGATGACTATGAAATACGCATGCGCAAGTGAGTTTGATAATTTACACGTATCGGGTGACTTTTAGTGCGTCAACCCCTAGCCTGCACGTAATTTGGTACGATTCTATGCCATTTTGTAGTTATTGGTGTGAATATACCGTGATTTAAAAATATTTCGTTACTATACTGTATCATTTATAAATCTGCTTTTTAAGCACAATTCTGCATTCGCAACACACTTGGTATGATCTTCGCAGACTTTCAAGAGTTACTTGGAAGACAGATATAATATAATCTAATTTCTTGTTTTAGCCTGTACGAAATTGCTCTGGAAAAAGCGGGTCTGGAGTTTCGCTCGGATCCTCTTTGGGAACACTATATTAGCTGGGAGTCCGGCCACAATCGTTTAGGACGTGTTTTGGCTATCTATGACCGTCTCCTGCACACGCCGACCCAGCTCTACTTTCAAAATTGGGACAGTTTTAAGAAGATGATTGAGGAGAATCGACCAGAGGACTTCTTGCCACTGGGAGAGTTCGCTGAACTCCTAGCTAGAGTTTCACCTGTCGCTGGCACCGCAATGCGTATAGCTTTGAGCGACTCCAACAAAGCCTCTATACCTATTCCAGATGTATATCCAACATAGTCTTCCATCGCTTCTTTGAAATACCTCATTCGACTCCCTAAGCCCCATTGTCCCCCTTTTAGATTACCGATGCCGATCGTAACGCCATTCGAAAACTGGTTATTGATCGTCGTGAGAAGATCTACCAAGCAACGTACCTACAAATCATGAAGCGATGGTACTTTGAAGAAAAGGTACGCTTTGTGTCTTGTTTATAGCCCGTACTAAATGGAAATTTCTTACCGCGATGTTGACATACCATTATAGCATTTTGAACGATCGCTCTCTCTAAGCTTTGCTTAACTTGTGACACTTTCTGGCTAAATTTATCGAAAGTGGCTATTCTGCAGTGGGGACTTAATGTTGTAGTCGAAAGTCTCCCCATAATCGAAGCCACTTTTGCGGATTTTTAATGCTATTTAGGCACTTGTGTTTGATCATATAGTTATTGAAATGGTGCTTATTTCAACATCAAAAATGTTAATTATCACTATGCATAGCTTATCCATACTTTCTGATTGAACCGCTTTTGTAGTTACGAAATATCCTTTCGTAAATACACTAAAAGCGCCACTTTTTTATCCACTTGGGTTCTTAACTTCGCATGGATCATTGCTGTTCTAGTCTTTGGTTTCGATTGGTGGATCGAATTGGTTATTCGCACTGAATCAACTCATTAATGTTGCCCGATCTTGCTTCTGTACGAAAGGCAATCCCTAATTTTGACATTTTGCCCTTGTTTAAACGTTATCTGGATCTAGTTCGATGTATGTGTGATCATTTAGTCTCACAAAAGCATGTTTTCCATGTAGATCCGTCGTCCCTACTTCCACGTGAAGCCGTTGGAGGAGGCGCAGCTCAACAACTGGGCGGAGTACCTCAGTTTCGAGGAGTCTGAGGCTGCTAGTGCAGAAGCCCTTCTGGCGGTGTCAGCAACCGATGACTCGCAGATTACCCCTGCGGACGTTCAGTTAGCTAAAAAGCGGGTCCGCGTTCTCTATGAGCGTTGCCTCGTCGCCTGCGCCCTCTACGAGCATATGTGGATTCGCTATGCCAAGTATCTCGAGGTGCGCCTGTTCCCATTTAGCTCAGCATTCTTTTATCGGCGTTGTCACTATGCTTCATTATGGCTTTCTCATGGATCATGTCATTTTTTTGTTATTTGTGACTACATTTTTAATTTCTACCAGAGGTTTGCCAGTTTCTCAGATCTTGAGGCATTTTTTACATCCTATTTTTTCCATCATTGGGGTTGCAATCGCTATGCTTGATTACTCGCCTGTTTTTGCAAGTCTTAAATGTCTTATTTGAGGGGATGCTTTTTGCATTTCACCGCTTGTGCTGTCTGCATCCGTACTGCAACGGCATGACCTCCGTTTTTCCGAAATCTTTACCTACTTGATTCTTCTTGTGGGGAACATAACGCTTCGTGCTATTGCAAGTTCCTTCATAACAATCATCAATACAGTCAATTAAAACAAATTCTAGAGTGCCTTTTTCAGTCAACAAACTGAACACTAGCTTGAAATTTTAACATGCACAAGCCAAATTGGTAGAAACTCTGTTATAAGGCTTTGGTTTCAGCCTTCATCATCACCGAACCAGATCCAAGAATCAGTGGATTCTATCACCATTAGTATCACGGAGCATCATCACGATTCAGATTCCGCTTCCACCTGGGGATCTCGGTTTAACAGCCATAAGATTGTTTTCCTCCCTGCTTTCGCTGGTACTGAGGAAGTGTCTCTGGAAAGCCTCCCGATATCTGTTTTTTTTGGAGGAATCATAGTCGGGACCCCACAAACCGAAGACTTCTCCCACCTTGTCCTGGCGAATGCCTTTACAAAGTTGCCGGGTCATCCTTAACTCAGTGAGCAAGGAGCCCGATTTGTTGACTCATTAGGCGAGCACTACCGCAAGTCATGGGGGGATGAGGCGACGGCTAGCGTCTTGTAGGTGGTCTTGGTGACCTGTCGGTCAAGTCAGAATGATTTCTTTTGAAATTATTAATCACTAGCAGCTTCATCAACAGGATGACTGTAGCTTAATCGTCTTTTATTGAATTTCAGTTCACGGAGCAGGATATCCGGAGTGCTAGAGAGGTGTGGCGTCGAGCGTGCGGCGTGCATTTACGCGCCAAGCCCACCATACACTGGCATTGGGCCCTCTTCGAGGCACGCCACCCTGCCGAATTGGATGAAACCGGTGGTGATGGTAAGGCGATTGTCAAGTCCATCACTCCATTGGAAATACTTACACAACTTGAGGAACGTCTGATCGACAGTGCTCTCGTCTGCGCTCGTCGTGCCGACGCCATGCGGTGCGAAGGAAAACCGGTGAGTTTAGCTTTCGTGTTTCTCTTTCATTTCCACGCGCTCACCTGGAGCACAAATGTTTCATCGCAAATAAAGCATAACTAATACGAATGATGACTTTTTCGAATGAACACAAAAGGAGTCGTTCTGGGGTGTTACTGCTAATTCCAAATCCAAAAGCAGTAGATAACGCTTTTTTCTGATCACTCTCGTCAGCTCCTCGATTTGATTGTTTGTCTACGCTCGGGCATAAATCGTCTGCGTGTGCGGGCCACAGAACAGACGAGTCTCGCGCACACCGTCACTGGTGCCACCGCCTCTTTTTCGGCCGCTATCGCTCTGGCAACGGCGGCTCAGGCTAGGGCGGGTGCCAGCTACCTGGCCAGCAAGCTGGCTAGGCTACTACATCGCAATGTGGGCAATCTGATACCTCCGGAAGGACTCCCGGTTTGGCAACTCCTCCTCAAATCCTCCTACAAACCCTCTCCCGACGTTACGAATGACACCTCCGACTCGAACTGTGTCAAGACAGAGGAAGAAGCGGAGATAGTGCCATCAGTGAGTGTTTTTGGTTATTTCGAGGGTAGAACCAATCGTTCGTTTGATTGCTCCCCATCAATACTTAAAAGGTTTTTCGGAGTGCTGTCACATTGCTGTACTTGATTTCATCCAATGCTGTTATGTCTTACTTTTCATGACATGATTCTGATTTTTATGTTTCATGCTTGTTTCATTAGGTCGGTGTAATGGAAGAGAAGCTTAAAACAGAGACTGCAGACGCGGTAACAGATGTGGCAACCAATACGAAGGAGGAGGAGCAGCAAAACGAAGAGGAAGAAGAGATGGAGGTAGAAGATGCGGAACCGAGTGAGGTTACCCCAGAGTCGTTGGATGTTGCGTCCGCAAAGACAGATATCGGCGACGCCAGCGTAGGCTCCGACTCGCCTCCAGTTGTAATTGGGCGCAAAAAGAACACCTCCGCCGCTGGAGCTTTCAAGGTGTGGTTTTACTCTACCTTATTGTTGAGATTATGTAATATTTTATGCATGATTTTGAAGGAAATACATGATGCATGCTTTTCGGAAAGGATGCTCATTGTCGATATTTTTATCAGCCTATTGAAGGTGGCAAGAGGATGCTGGAAGGGGCAGAGGTAGTGGTGACAGTGGCACCATCGGAGAGCGGTGGTGTGGTTGGGGAAGGTGAAGACGAGGTGGAAGAGCCACAAGCAAAGAGGAAACGTCGTTCTCGTTGGGGGGACGTAGAGGGCGAGACGGATCGTGATTTGGCTAACCTGCGTGCAGCGGAGGCCGCGGCAGAGGCGGAGCGACTGGCACGTGCCGACCGCGATCAGCGCGCCTACGCCTCAGAACGCGCTGCCATCACCAACGTCTGCCCGCCCTCGGATCTTTCAACTTTACCGGAGGAGCAGCGTCGTCTTATCTCGCCTGAGGACGCAGCTCTTGCAGTCCTTCGTGATGCCATTGATTTTGATCCGGTGTGTTGTTTTTTCGTCGATTTACCACAGCCTTATATTTTCCGAACTTATAGATTTCTTGCATTCATTCTGCTTCATTAATGCCATACCTGTTGTCTGGTGTTAGTAATAATGGCGATGGTGGTAAAAATTAAAGGCTCAATGTGCTCACTCCCTTACTTAGCGCAATGAGCGTCTCTACGCGCAGCTGCTGGACATAGCCTACCAGCGTCGACCCCTCGATGTGGATGGGTTCGTAGAATTTGCCAATCTCGCAATTGTCGACTCCATCCTCCCCGCCACAGTTAAATTGGCCTTCGCGCAGCGAAAACTCCAATTCCTTGAAGAATTCTGCAGTGACGTCAACAAGTAAGCATAGACGTGATGCAATCATTCGCAAGTTTTTATCAAAACGAAAGACCATCCTTCTATACGAATTTTGATACGGTAGCATTGGGAAGGACGTCGTTTATTCACGAGTGATAAGTTCAGTAATGCATTTTCCTCTTTGCCTTGTTGTCAAGCCCACTTTTCCAGGCAGTCTTGACGACGGTGGTGGCCTGACTGAATGAAGCTTTTCATTTTTCGACATTGGTTTTGTTATTTCTTGCAAGACAAAGGTGTTCTTTACCCAAGTCCTAGATCGGGAAATTTATGGAACTTTTGATTCACGTTTTTCACGAATCAGAGAACATTTTATCCAGATTTTATTGTTGCTTACTAGCGGAACGATAAGGGCAAGTAATCGACAAAGAACAGCTTTTTATCAGAGAGACCTTATGGTGAACTTATTTAATCATCGCAGAATCTCAGCCGCATTCGATGAGTACATTCAGCTGGCGCAGCTGGTAGTCCAGTGTACCAATACTGGAACTAGGGATGCAGGAGACGAGATGAAAAAACAGCAACAGCAGCAGCAGCAGCAATCAGTTGGGGTGGACGCTGCAATGGCCTACACCACACCGGATCTACTAAACGTGACACTCCCGGCGCCACTGCGTCCCTCTGCACGTCGTAACCCTGTGACGAACGGTCCGGTGCGTCGAATGCCGCAAATGGACATTGGGGCTGCGATCCTCGCCGACGCCGCAGCGGTTGGTACGCCGCTGCCACCGCCATCATCCGCGGATACCGCCGCCGCTATTCGTTTTACTGCCGGTGCCTACGAACCCCTTGCAGGAGCCTCTGCCGGCTGCCTTCCTCCACCCGCACCCACAATGGTCCCCATTGCTGCTGGTGCCCTTCCTGGGGTAAGCTAATTTGTCTTCTCGATTTCGATGCGACTTTAGTCACCAATCGACCATTTTGGGGCGGCTTCTTTACTGTCCTGTCTCGTGATTTGGTGGAAAATGTTAAGCTAAACTGGATTTTAAAGTTTCCCCCAGTTTTCGTTCATTATTTTGAAAAAACTGAACAGTCGTACTATGTCGTCGTTACCCTAGTAACCAAGTCGATAAGTCGGTGCCTGGTTTTGCTTCACTTTGATCGCTTTATTTGTTGTCATATTTGACAACAGCGTCTATCAATTTTGCAGTGGATGGCAAGTAAATGGCCTTGGCAGCCAAGCTTCGAAGCGGTCGGTTTTGGTTAAAATTGTGAGGTATTAAATTAAAATCCTTTTTTTGACATTTAAATCGTCAGGTCCTTTACGTGGTGAATACCTACTTCGACTGCCTAAATGCTTCAATTCTTGAACTGTCATATTTTTACTCATCCTCTCCGTCGCAGTCTCCATGGCTGCGATGCCTAACCTATGATGCTACGCGGAAGCAGGTAGAGGCCATCGAAGTAGCGGACATTTGCACTTACAAAATTAAATTACATCGTTTGAAAACGCCTCAATGACTAGAAGCATCATCGAAAGGAATTAGAAAGGAATCTACCTTTCAGGAATGGTGTTCGTGACTTTGATTTGGCATTTATGATGGGTTGCTTGGTTACTTTATGCACAGTCGTCACTACTGCTGCTACGTTATCGCTACGTTCAAGCCGCTATGCCGCGGTCATCGTTGTTTCCGCGAGTGTCATCCGACAAAAGTGAACCTGCTGAGACTTGGGCAAATAGGCAAGAGCTAGTTGCTGGTTGGGAGGTCACGAAGGAAGAAGGTGGGAGGGTGAGTGGGGCATAGTGCAACGATTGGTTGGTCAGTGGAGAGGCTTGCCAGAAGTCACCGCATGGATGGCAATGTAGATGGAGGTGGTGTCTGCCTAAGCGGTGAGCAGGAGAGAGGGGTTGCTGTCAAAACGGACGATGGAGGTAGTGGTGTTGGTTGTAGTTGTAGTAATTGTGGAGGCAGTAGAGGTGGGGTTGGGCATGAGGACAATGGTAATGGGAGGAGGCTCCTGAGTTTCGATTGACGGTGTCTGGCTGAAAAGGCATTGGTCAGTCGTGATTGCTGAATTGGAATTGCTTTATTGGATGTGAAGCCTTTGAGTCTAGCATGTGATGTGCCAGGCGCGTCCAAACGGTGA